ATCTGAGCGGGACCTCGCCGTCCTTCGGGGGCTGCGATCTGCGAGGCCGTCGCAACTTTCGAGGGGTGCTTGGGGGGCCAGCATAGCGATCTGCGGAACTGTCGCCACTTTCGAAGACTGCTGACGGGTCAAGCGGAGTGAGGCACTGCGCAGATCTGAGCGGGACTTCGCCGTCCCCCGGGGGGCTGCGATCTGCGAAACTGCCGCTACTTTCGAAGACTGCTGGTGGGTCCAGCGGAGTGAGGCACCGCGCAGATCTAAGCGAGACCTCGCCGTCCCTGAGAGGCTGCGATCTGCGAAACTGTCGCCACTTTCGAGGGCTGCTGGTGGGTCCGGCGGAGTGAGGCACCGCGCAGATCTGAGCGAGACCTCGCCGTCCCTGGGGGGCTGCGATCTGCAAAACTGTCGCCACTTTCGAAGGCTGCTGGTGGGTCCGGCGGAGTGAGGCACCACGCAGATCTGAGCGGGACCTCACCGTCCTTGGGGGCTGCGATCTGCGAAACCGTCGCAACTTTCGAAGTCTGGTGGCGGGTTCAGCGGAGCAAGGCACCAGGCAGATCTGAGCGAGACATAGCAATCCTTGGGGGGCTGCGAGCCTCACGAATGCCGCTCGCAGAAGTATATGCGCCCATGTCACGTCATCACCTCCGTATAACGTCTCCCAAGCTACTCATGCCCCGCATTGCGCAGGGGTTGGGTACGTCGCCATGGTCATTCTTTTTTGCGCAAGATGATCCCAGCTGTTCCTCCCTTGTCTACGCCGAGAAAAAATGCACACGTCCGAGCGATGCCGAGTCTCTGTCTTCGGAGGGAGGTTCAGGAGACTTCTCGGGGAGGCCCGAAGCCGTCCGAGCCTTCTGAGGAGGCCCGCCCCCTCTGCATATTCCCTCCTGGGCTTGACCCGCCGATGTTTTGGTGGCAACTCACGGTAGCCTCCCATACCATCTTGTCGGCTCTTGTGAATGGACGCTGATCGACGATAATCGACGCTGGTCGGCTCTAAATCGACGCTCATCGAAGCCAGCCGACGCTGAATCGGCGCCAATATTCATCGACTCCCAGACGCTCTTCGACGCCAGTCGGCGCCAAGGACGGAACTGAAAGGGTACACCAGGCCCCCCCCACCGAGCGAGGTGCTCCGACGAGGGGCGGGGGCCACCGCCATGCCGACCGACGACAGTCGGGAGCGGCCAAGAGGGGGGTGTCCAAGAGGGGGGGGTGCAAATCATGACCGGTGGCATGTGCGCGGCCCAGCGGGGGGGCCAGGGACGCAATGAAACAAGAAGAGGCGCCGTGAGATCTGGGGAAATCTCATGGCCCACGCCATGATATCCACCCCCCGCTGGTCATCACCCCCCCTCTTTTCCGCCTCCGACGACAGCACGCGTCGGAGGAGCAGCACCGAAAGCACCCGGGCGGCGGCACGCCGGGAGAGCGCGCCCGTGCGGTGCGCCCGCCCGGGCGCGCCGCGGCCCGCAGGGGAAAGAGGCGCGGGAGGGCGAAGCAGCAGCACGCGTGCTGCTGCGTCGCGGCGCGCGGGGCAGAGGCGGCCCCCCCGCGCGCGCGGTGAAGAAGCGGGGCCGGGGCACGGCGTCGCGGAGCAGCCCGCCCGCGGGAGGGGCGGGGAAGCGAGAGAAGGCGGCCGCAGGTAGGGGGAAAACAAACCGCTTTTGACCATTCTCGCTTCCAATTGCAGCCTGTACTGGTCAGGCCGCTTGACGAGGCGGCGCGTGGTATGGCTTGGTTTTGCCTGGAAGCGAAAGCGGGGTAGGTAATTCACGCTCTGAGGGGGAGCAAGGCACGGGGACACACTCGCGCAGCGAGGCTCCGCAGCCTGGCTGAAGGGTCGCCCCTGGCAGCAGCTGCGGGTCGGCGTCGCAGTGCACACAAGGAGGGGGGGCCTGGAGCCGCGAAGCAGCAGCGCACAGCCACACCCGCGGGGGGATCGGAGGGAGCAGGGCTGGCTGTGGGTATGGGTGCGGGTTGTCGGACCTCGGGGGGAGGCTCCCGTTCGAGCGGGCACCCCCGTCGGACAAAGCACTTGCCCAGAGCCCTTGCCCGTCCCCCCCCCGAGGGGCACGGGTGCGTGTCGTTCCTTCGCCACCGGCGGGGGAGACGCCGAGCTCGAATCGGCGGCACCTCGCCGACCGATCGGCGACAACCCCCCCCCGATCTTGCAGCGGATCCACACGGTCCTGGGCGGAGTGGGCCACAGGGCCCCCCTCATCGGCGATGAATGGGGCATCGGGGGCCGAGGTGTCTCCCCCAGAGCCCATCCCCCCCCAGCGTTCCCCCTGAAGATGCCGCAGAACGATGGGATATCCAGGGCTTCAGTCGCGCCTCTCTGCGGCGTTGCAGGCTTCCACGCCGTCGGATCTCAGTGAGCCTGGGACGTGGAGGCGACCTCTGGAGGGGGCCCCCTCGAGGAGGTGGAGGAGGGGCTCATGGGCGTTCTCTGGCTTTTCCCCCCACGGTGCTCGCGTGGCCCTGCACTCGGTCCAATCGGTCATAGGGATTCTGGGCGTTCGATCGGCGGGCGCCCGTCGCGCCCGCGTCGCCGCCTCGCGCGCTGCCCCGCGCGAGCCGGGTGCTCGGAGACCGGCCGCCCGTCGCCGCCCCGCCGCTCCCTGCGAGGGCGGTTCGCCCAGCGGCCGCTCGGCGCCTCTGCGTCGCCGCCCCGCGCGTCGGCCCGAGTTTCTCCGGGGCCCTCGCCCAGCGGCCGCCCGCCTCAGAGGGCATCCGTCCCCCAGGAAGAATCCGCCGACCCTGCGGCGTGTCGTCGTCGTCGTCGTCGCCGTCGTCGTCGTCGTCGCCGTCGCCGTCGTCGTCGTCGTCGTCGTCGTCGTCGTCGTCGTCGTCGTCGTCGTCGTCGTCGTCGTCCTCGTCGTTGCCGTCGTCGTCGCTGTGAGTCGCAAGTAAAGTAGGGAACAAAAAAATTGAATAATGTCGTAGGGAAGCCCTTCCCTTTGACTCCCTACCTGCGGGAGGGGGGGTCTTCGGGGGGGGCTAGCCAGGGTGATCCCGGATCAAGCAGAATACCATACCCCTGTGGTGTCCAGAATCTTAAGACGGGCCAAGAGTGCCCTAAGAAACCCCGAAGACGGTCTAAGAAGGCCCCATATCGCCGAACGATCGGTCTAAGGCGCCCAGGGTAGCCTCCAGAGAGCCCAAGAGGCATCTAAGACGCCCCAGAAGGCCTGCAAGAGTACTCCCAGAGGGCCCCACGAGGCAAATTTCATTGACGTTCCTCAGGTTTTTGATAGATTTGGGCGTTCTCGCCTTTTGGGGTCACGACGCTCCAAGACAGCCCAAGAGGCACCTAAGGTCGTCCCAAGACGGCCCCAGAGGCCCCCTAAGACGGCCCCCAGAAAGCCCCAAGAAGCCCCCACAAGGCTCCCGAGACGCCCCCAAGTGGCGCCTAGAGGCTCGGAAACTGCCTCCCAGAGGCCCCCGAGAGCTCTCCGAAGACACCCCAAGAAGCATCCATGAGGACTCCGACCCACGTCGGCATCGTCATCGTCGCATCCGCCGTCGTGGTCGTTGTCCCCCTTCAGGGTCGGCTGCACTTGCCGCAAGGCCTTCGCAATAGTATTTTCTACCCCCGGCCCCATGCACAAGCCAGTGTCAACGACTCCCCTGCGCGCAGCGCCGTGTCATATTTACTACGCACGTCCGCCCCAGACACCCAGTATTGAGCCCCCCCCTGTGTCTCTGCCGCATGACACAATACGCTGCGCACGCGCCGGCAGAACAGACGCGCTTCGAAGCGGTCCCAGCGTTGACCCCCCAAACCGCACGCCCTCACACGGCGGATGTGTGCAAGCTGTGTGGTGCACGCTGCGTGGTGCAAGCTCTCTGGTGCAACTCGATGTGGTGCAAGATGTGTGGCGAGCTGTAGGGAGCAGGCTGCGTGGTGCGGTGGTCCAGTGGCCCGTGGCTCGGTGGCCCGCCCCTCGGGCCCCCCGTGGTCTCGCGGCCCGCTGCCCCCCGGCCTCGTCGGCATCCGCCACGGGCTCTGCTTGGGGCCCGCCCTCCGCACAGGGCCTGTCCTCGGGCAGGCCCCGGAGGGCGACAGCGCCCGAGCGGTCGGCCGGAGGCCAGGGGCACGGGCACGCCGGGCAAGGAGCACGGGGGAGGTCAGGAAGGACCGCTCGAACCACGAGGCTACAACCCTCATCGAAGTCGGACGCAAGTTTTTGATGCTGGTCGACGCGCGCAAACGCGGCCCACGGGGTCAGAGTTGTGCGCGTGCGTGTTTGCAGTCGCCATGTTCGGCGCGAGCACTGCAATGTTTGGAGCCACTGTGCGCCGCCTCGTCGCACGAAAAACTTGCGTTTGAGCTCGAGGAAGGATGTCTGTAGACCCCAGCCTGGGCGGAACTGGCCAGCGTGCCGCAGCTGCTGCGAAAAAACGCGGGCTTCGAGGGGGCATAGCTAGGGGGGGGGGGGACGACGGTGCAAGCCCTCGGCAGCCGTTCGCTCCTTCAGCCCCCTCCCATCGCAGCTGCCGAGGCAATGGGCCCTCCTCATTCCCTCTCCTCTTCCTTCACCTCGTCGCCATCACCATCACAATCGCACCATACATCACCCTTGCACCGTCGCCGGTGCATCATTACCGCCAGCAAGATCACCACTGTCGCTACCATCATCATCATCATCATCATCATCATCATCATCATCATCAGCATCAGCATCAGCATCAGCATCAGCATCATCATCAGCATCAGCATCATCAGCAGCAGTGTAATCATCAGCATCAGCAACATCATCATCATTATGTTTATCATCATCATCATCATCATCACCAGCATCATCATCATCGTCATCATCATCATCAACATCATCATCATCATCGTCATCATCATCACAATCGTAAGCAGTCTGATCGGAATCAGCCTCCCAATGCTAACCCTCCTTCGGATGATCAACTTACATTCCCCATGCGTCCCTCTCCTCTTCCTTGGCACCGTCGCCAGACCCCTGAGGTCCCAAAGGCCCGACCGGGGCGAGCATCTGCATCAGCTTCGCCAGCTGGTCGGCGGTGAGGCTGGAGGTGGCCTGGACAGCAGAGGCAGCAAGTCGCGCGTCGCTCGGATGAGGCCGGCAGGATGGACGCGGGCCCCGAGGGCAACGGGTCCTGGACCTCAGGACCTCTTCCCCCCAGGCCCCAGCGCTTCGTGCCGAGCGCCTGCTCCACGGTCCTGTGCAGCGGGTCCTGGGCCCCAGGACCTCTTCCCCCTGGCCCCCTGGACCAGCTCTTCATCCCGAGCGCCTGCATGACGGCCCTGTGGCCCCCCGGGAAGGGCCCCGAGAGCGACAAGCATCAGGACCCCTATCCCTCGGGACACCCCTCCTTCCCATGGCAAAGACGGAGGAAGGATGAGAAGGAGGAGAACGAAGAAGGAGGAGGAGGAGGATGAGGAGAAGGAGGAGGAGGAGGAGGAGGAGGAGGAGGAGGAGGAGGAGAGGGCCGAAGGAGCGAGGAGGAGGAGGAGGATGGAGGAGAAGGAGGGAGGGAGGAGGAGGAGGAGGGGGAGGAAGAAGAGGAGGAAGAGGAGGAGGAGAGAGCCGAAGGATCGAGGAGGAGGAGGAGGAGGAGGAGGAAAAGGATGGAGGAGGAGTAGGAGGAGGAGGAAAAGGATGGAGGAGGAGGAGGCAGAGCTTGGCACAGACGCCGAGCGGCGCGCGCCTCTTCCGCGACGGGCAGGCGCCTTCGATCTCGGGCCCCCGCGCGCTCCTCCCCACGAGCGGGCGCGGCTCTGCGGGCCCACCACGCGCGAGAGAGAGCGCGCGCCTCTCGGGGGGGGCTCCCGGGCACCCCAGGTGGGCCCGGGCGCCCCTCCGCCTCCGCCTCCGCCTCCGCCTCCTCCTCCTCCTCCTCCTCCCTCCTCCTCCTCCTCCTCCTCCTCCTCCTCCTCCTCCTCCTCCTCCTCCTCCTCCTCCTCCTCCTCCTCCTCCTCCCTCCCTCCTCCCTCCTCCTCCTCCTCCTCCTCCTCCTCCTCCTCCTCCTCCTCCTCCTCCTCCTCCTCCTCCTCCTCCTCCTCCGTCGGGAGGCGCGACTGCAGAGGAGCGCGGCCCACCACAGAGGGCAGACGAGCGCGCACCACGACTCGCAAAGGTACCTGCTCCCAAGTGGCCTGGATCCCCCGCGGAGGGTCCACGATAAAGCACATCGAGACAGACGTGTGCTTTTTGTTCGGACGTTTGCGAGCAGGCACTTTGCGAGCAGTGGAACGCGCTCGTCGAGTGGGGGGCCCGGCCACCAGAAACCTTCCACAAGAGAAGCCCGACCCTGAGACCCCAGGACATCCACACGCTTGCTGTGCGGGAGCGCCACGCCATCCGTGGCAAAGCCATCGAAACCAAGAGACCCAGGGCACCCTGGAGGCAAGCAGGGTGTTTCTTGGCATGGGCCTTCACTGCATTCGCAAGTATATACGTACGCGCAGATGGCCTGGATCCGCCGCGGGGGATTCAAGATCCATGACGTCGAGGCAAACATGTGTGTTGTTCGGACGCCTGCGAGCCGGCGTTTTGCGAGTAGTCAGTGGAACGCGCTCGGTGAGGCGGAAGGCCTCACCTCCTCGCGCACCCCTGGGGCCAGCCTCGACTTCCTCGATGCCGGGAAGTGCCCGCACGCCCCACCCGTGCACGCCCCCAGATGGAGCGTACCCGAGCCACGAGACATCCGAAGTGCTGGGCCTGGACCCGACCGCAGATAGAACAAGAAAACGCGCCATAAACATAAAATGTTGGCGCTCCGCGCGAATTTCGTGGATCCGCGCTGGACCCCCCCCTCCCTGGCGCGCGGAGCGCGCCAGGGGCGGCGCTGGAGGCGCCGCCAGGGGGGCCCAGCGCGGATCCGACAAATCCGCGCGGAGCGCCAACATTGTATGTTTATGGCGCTGTTCTTCTTCGAGTAGGTCTGTCATTTTCACCAGGGAGACCCCTGGTGATGAGAACTGCCGGCTTCCCAGCTGATGGGCAGGTGGCCCCACCATGCTCGCGCAGGCCGAAGCGGAGAAGCAGGAGGACGAAAGCAGCAAGCGAGGGAAAACTACGACATTCGCCAGCATGTCCAGATACCAGTCCTGGGGCGGATGACTCGAAGCTGACCATCAGAGAACTGCACCGGAACCACACGCCGTATGTCAGCCAGCGTGGACCCTAAACAGTGGATATGTTGCATCTCGCTGGCAATTGCGCTTGGATCCTGGATCGCCGTCTCCCGCTCCACCGCCTCGCAGAGGCCACTCTGGATTGGCTCTACACCCTTGCCCCTTGCCCCAGCCGACGATGTCCAGCCGAGCCTTGACATCGCTCCCGCACCTCTCCTTGAGCTCCCGCATGGCGGAGCCAGAGATCTCGCAGCCTCTGGGGACAGCTCCTCATGGTACAGTGGGGGCCCGACCACAAGAAACCTTCCAAAATAAACCAAACCCTCAGACCCCAGGACGTCCATCGATGTTTCATGTGGGAACGGCACGCTCTCCACGGCAAAACCATAGAAAGACAAGAAACCCAGGGCACCCCAGAGGCAAGCAGGGTGTTTCTCGGCATGGGCTCCCACGGCGCTCCAGCGTCGTGCCCGAGCTGGCGCAGCTCTCTCCCGGTCGGGGACCTCAAGAGAGAGAGCCAGGAAAGGCCACATCCGCCGACGCCACCTCCTCGGGGCCCACGTCCGCGGGCACCTCGGGCTCAGTGGTCGACGTCGCTGCGCGCCTGGCGCCCCGAGGCCCACTTCCACGGCCACGGCCACGGGGAGGCAGTGCCGACTCGTGCCCTGCAGGCTCACTGGGCAGCGACATCCACGTCCTCTGTCCTCCTCCTCGTCCTCCTCCTCGTCCTCCTCCACATCGTCCTCCTCCTCCTCCCGTCCTCCTCCTCGTCCTCGTCCTCCTCCTCCTCCTCCTCCTCGTCCTCCCCCGCGTCCTCCGCGTCCTCCTCCTCGTCCTCCTCGTCCTCCTCCTTCTGGGGGTTCTGGGGGAAGGGGGTCATCTTTTTCTGCCCCACCCACCATCGGATCCCCCGAAATCGGTGGTAGGCACGGGTGCACAGAGGGCTCGGACTGCGCCACGTGCTCTCGACGGCCTCCGGGCCCTGCCCCTGCCGCCCCCGTCGGGTTGCCTCGACCGTCGAGCGGCGAGGGTGGAGTTCCGAGCCTCGCCCCCGACGCGTGCCCCAGGCAGCCGGCCCAGGCCGCGGGGACGTGATGAAAGCTGGCACCCTTCGAGTAGGGGGATCGACTACAGAAACGATTTACCACATGATTGGTTCCCTCGGCAGTTTGCACAGAAATCGCAGCTTTCTTCACAGGTTCGACTGAATACAAGGTTGGGGTGCATCGATTCTGTAGTCGATCCACTACTCGAACCCTGGTCCTCGCGTAGGCCGCCTCCTGCAGCCTGCAGGCCATCCTGCTGCGCGGACGGGTGGCAAAAGACCTTGAGGACACCAGAAGGTACCGATACCGCTGCTCCCCGTACCTCTCCCGGGGGCCGTTCTGACCAGAGTTCCGAGGCGAATCCAGAGGGGACGACGAGGGCCTCCCAGGAGGCCCCAAAAAGGGAAAACCAGGGAAGGGTAGCGCTATGGGCACAGCTTCCTCCTCTGAAATTATCATGTCCCAACCTACTTTAGCCTTGATCACCAGAAAAAAATTCGAACACCAGAAAAAAAAGCCGAAACTCGAGGGTTTTCACGTGTCCGGCCCTGGGAGGCACTCGTCCGACACTGTTTCGACACTCTTTCGACACTCTTTCGACACTTTTCTGGGTGCTCGAAATTATTTCTGGAATGTGGTCCTTAAGTAGGATGGGAACAACATGACTCTGAGACCTGCCTCGCCACCCTCCGCGCACCGGGAGATCTGGCGACCAGGGCCTCTCTCGTGGGCCCTCCTCTGCGGCGTGCGGGTCAGCATGCAGCCGGGCGAGAGGGCGGTGCAGCCCCGCTGGGCCACCCTCCGCCCTCGGTGGCGCGGTGGCCCCACGGACGCGGAGCGTTCGCTCGATGCTGCATCAACTGCCTGGCCCCTGTCAGTGAAGCAAGCTGCCCCCCATGATGTTGTCAACTGAGAGTCGCTTCGAACGGGTCCGCCGAAAAATGGACGTGCTCCGTGGTGAGGCTGGGGGCCTGACCGGCTACGTGCGGAGGCAATCCAGTCATTTCCATTCCCACCTGGGGGACTGCACGATGCAGCTTTGCAGTGACTAACCCTGGGGGGGCCCAGGTGACTTGCGGTATTGAGAAAGATAGAACCAACGCCAGCTTGCCGAAACAAACAGTTGAGCGCTGATCACCCCTGCATCGACTCTTGATCTGTTGGGCGGCTTGGCGCGGGACCCCGAATGGCCCGATGGCCACAAAGGAACGATTCACAGGCCATGCGGACAGAAGGTGGATGGAATTTGACGGTGGCGGAACAAGGAAAAAAAGACGACGGCATTGCCACCTTGAGCCAGCCAGCATGGCTACGGACGGGGACGGCTCAGACTAAATGTTCTTGTCATCATGTTTTAGCATGTCTGCCAGAGTTCGGCTTGATGTTTGCACACCGTGCAAACCACTGCTCCTTCTCTGCCGCCGCCTCCTCCTCCTCATCACCATCATCAGCATCATCAGCATAGTCATCATCACCATCATCATCATCATCATCATCATCATCATCATCATCATCATCATCATGATCATCATCATCAGCATAGTCATCATCATTAACATCATTGAGATCATCATCACCACCACCACCAACATCGTCATCGTCATCAGCAGCAGCATCGTCATCATACGAAGCAGCATCATAATCATCACTATCATCATCATCATCATCATCATCATCATCGTCGTCGTCATCATCATCAACATCATCAGCATCATCGTCGTCATCATCAGTATCATCAGTATTATCAGTATCATCATCAGCATCATCAGCATCAGCATCAGCATCAGCATCAGCATCAGCATCAGCATCAGCATCATCATCACCATCACCATCACCATCACCATCACCATCACCATCATCATCATCATCATCATCATCATCATCATCATCATCATCATCATCATCATCATCATCCGCCGTGGCAGCAGCAAGCCCCTTGCCCCCCCGCTCCGCCGCCGCACCCCGTGCGCGCGCCTTCCCGCCGCTGCTGATGCTCAGCACCTCCGGATCGGCCCAGAACGCCAGCACGCGCTGGAACGCCTGGGGTGCCGTGCAGCAGCGCTATGCTTCCAACCGAGGTCTGCCGTGCTTGGAGGGGAGCGCCGGCGAGGACGCGGAGCGCTCCTCCTCCTCCTCCTCCTCCTCCTCCTCCTCCTCCTCCTCCCCCTCCTCCTCCTCCTCCTCCTCCTCCTCCTCCGCCTCCTCCTCCTCCTCCTCCTCCTCCTCCTCCTCCTCTTCCTCCTCCTCCTCCTCCTGTCAACCAGTAGAAGAAGGACGTGAGAAGAGCATGCAAGGGGCCTGGAAGGCCTGAGACAAAGACGTTGCGAGCGGGGCGTGGCCAGCGAACGCGGCCGAGGAGGGGCTGGAGGGGGACAGGTGCAGGGTAACCTTGGACATTTGCTCAGCCTCGCCATGCGGGTTGACTGTAGGATGTTCCGCACGGCTGCGGCACGCTCGAGGGAATAGAGGCCTCGAGAATTGGGGTCGGAGTAGATGGGGTCGGAGGACCGCGCCGCATTGCCAATGTATCGGCAATGCATCGGCGATGCATCGGCGATGCATCGGCGATGCACCAGCGATGCTGCATCGTCGACTTCGGCGGTGCATCGGCGACGTCGGGGAGGCATCGGCGATGCGGCGCGATCCTCCGATCCCTTCTACTCCGACCTCGGAGGCCTGGAGCCTTACTATGCGGGTTGACTGTAGGATGTCCCACATGGCTGCGGCACGCTCGAGGGAGGCTTATGCTGCATCCTCGGGGAACCTGGCCTGTCCCGTCGCGGCCCTATTCGCGTCGAATCCGTGTTGAATCCACGTCTGCCTCGTCGGATCCGTGCCAGATCCGTGTCAAATCCGCGTCGACTCCACACCAAAACCGCGTCGACTCCGCGTCGGGCTCAAGAAAAGACACAAAAGTTTGGGGACAGGCGAGGCCCCCCGAAGATGCAACGTAAGGCTGCGACACGCTCTTCGGCTTGTCGGAAGAGGAGCGGGAAGGGGAGGGGGGTGGAGGGGGGGGGCAAGGAGGAGGAGGAGGAGGAAGAGGAAGAGGAGGACGAGCAGGACGACGACGACGAGGAGGAGTACGAGGAGTACGAGGAGTACGAGGAGGAGGAGGAGGAGGAGGAGAAAGAGGAAGAGGAGGAGGAGGAGGAGGAGGAGGAGGAGAACGAGGAGGAGGTGAAGGAGGAGGAGGTGGAGGAGGAAGAGGAGGCGGAGAGGGAGACAAAAGAGGAGGACGAGGAGGAGGCGAGGCGAGGAGGCGTGGGACAGAAGGCGGCATTGGCCACACAACGGCCCCGGGCACAGCCAGGGGGAGCTGGCTCGCGATGGGGCCCCTGTGGCTCTGAATGGAGATTCCTCATTTCAAATAGTTATGACAGATCTTAATCAGAACACAGATCTGATTCAAAACATGATACTGTGTTAAAGACTACTGGCACGTATTCCTTACCACATCTCCCTTGAGAGCAGTTCTTTCGTAAGGGTTCCTTAACGCAAATTCCTTACGAAGGGTTCATGAATAAGGATTCCTGCTGAAGGATGCCTTACTGGCAACTCCTGCGTAAAGACCCTTTGCCCCTGACCGAAGACTCCTTAGCAAATCTTGTGTAAAACACACTCTCGACGAAAGGAAACTGATATTCCCGACGAGCGGCTTAGTACAGACTCCGGACTAAAAGCTCATCAATAAAGATTCCGCACCAAAGACTCGGACTCACGATTCCTGGTAAAAGGTTCTTGAGCAAGCAGTCTTCACGAAGGATTCCTTATAACAGAGTCCTTGTCAAGGGTTCCTTAGTAAGAATGCATAATGAGGGCTCCTCCATGAAGATGGCTTACCACAAATTCCGGAGAGAAGATTCCAACATATGTCTTTTGTTTAGAAGACTCCTGACTAGGGGTTCCTTAGCACAGATTCCTCACTCAGGATTCCTCAGTGATGGCTCGCCAATCAAGATTCTTGAGTAAGGACTCCTGAGTATAGATTATTCAACGCCAAGCATTACCGACCGATGCCAGGAAAAGGGCAAGAGCGGGACAACTCATGGCCAAGCACCGCCAAGCACGACCAACTGCAAAACAAATGTTAGGACCACTGCAAGGCCCCAGGTCCCGACACAAAGCTGTGGCGATGGAGTCGGTGATTTTGTTCTGGTTGACCCCTTCGGTGATGATGTTGGCGGCGCACCACTGGACGGTTGGCGGGGCGTCGTTGGGCTTCGGCACGATGCGAATGATGGCTCCAACACCACGAAAATGGTACGGTCGGCAAATCAACATTTGTCTGCATAAACTTACTCACGTGCGCGCCGAACTTGTTTGACCACCTGCTC